TGTAAACAATGATGAATTCTGAACTGTGGCTCCGTAGGATGCTTCTTCCCTTTTGTTTCTATTGTCACTTTGCTGATTCTGTTTGGGTTTGCGACATTCTCGAGCCCAATATCCAGGTAACCCGCAGTTATTGCATTTACCTTTTCTTTTGAATTTGGTATTCTTTACTTTGCCGTTTTTGGACTTTTGACATAGTAGTGCTTTCTCACCAATATCCTTACTTTCGTTGGATTCTTTACGTTTCTGTTCTTCATGAAGAACTCTAGCAGTAACGAATTCTAAAGATAAGTCATCTTCTCTAGATTCCAATGCTGTTATTAAGCCACTGTACGAATCAGGTAAACTACAAAGGAGTGTCGCCACTTGATCTTCCTCAGAAACAGACGCCCTCAATGCTTCTAATTTACTTGCAATATCCTTCATCTTGTTGAGATGTTCGGTCATGGAATCATTAGGACCCATACTTGTAGTGAAATATTTCTTTCGCAAGGATAACTTATTGGCCAAAGATTTGACTTCATAATGACTTTCTAATTTCGCCTAAGCATCTTTTGCAGTACGCGCTGATCGAACGAGAGATAGCTGTTCATCACCGAGAGACAAACATATTGTTGAAAATGCCTTCCTTTCCCGCCTTTTATATTGTCGACGTTGAGTATCAGTAGTTCCTTCACCATTAGGTTCTACCTCATCGCCGATAACTATTTGCCAGAGATCCTTCTCTTCAAGTATCATCTGCATCTTAAACTTCCAAAGGTGAAAGTTTTGGCCATTGAACTTTTCGATCCGTGTAAATGCTTCGTCATTTCCCGAAGTCGCCATATTCAATATTTCGCACTTATGTAAGTTATATTCTCATGAAATCGCGATATCTCATATACTTCCGTATTTGCCGTCATCAACAGAAACTCAAACGCTCCTGGGCCCATAACCTGTTAAATTATTCGAGATTCGGCAATAACGTTCTGATAGCATGTGAAATATTATGATTTTTATTGTGGAACAAAATAACAACTTACGTATAAGCTAACAACGATATTACAATAACAAGTTCTGAATGTCACTTCATCTGACATGTGTCGTCTCTACTTAATTATGTTTTTCGCGTGATGTTTATATTTTAACAATATTAGTCGGTTTACTGAAGAAAACCAAATATTTGGTTTCGATTTTTGTGCCAAAGTTAATATATTCATTTTGACTTATGCCATGGCTATGAAAAGTTCAAATAACATTGGTGTACGTTTTTAAACATTTTAATTGGTGTTGATGGAGCACCTAAACAAATAGTTACAGTACCTAATTAAAGTGCTGACGACACGAAATTTTATCACGATTTTGTTTCATTGCATTGCCGTAAACATATAAAATGATTTTTGTAGCGTTTATTTAAAATCGTGGCCAGAGATTTGCCAGGCGGAAAGCGAATTTTCAACATGAACATAATAGCCCAACATAAGACTTTTAAAAAAGCCATCACAATAATAAAATAGAGAGAGATTTATTAACAACGTTTCGTATAATTGCCCAACATAACTGTAATATATGCTTTAACACCCTGTAATATATGCTTGTATTTATAGTGTTTATATTACGAATTTTAGCTCCCTTTTTTTATTAGCTAAATTGAAAGACCTTGTTTCAGTGATTTTAAATCTGCAATTATAATTGAAATTGGATTGGTGAAAGTGATTTTAAGGACGTTCAAAGTCACGATTTTCAGCATTTTTTTGCGAACTTTTTGATCGGTATGTTAATGACTTGTGACGTAGAAAGTTAAACACATATATCAACATGGCGTATTCTACTAGTAATCTTAATAAGAAACGCGGAGGAAAACGCTGTGTTGCTGGCGGACCTAATCAAATTAGTTGCGCCAATGATTCAAAAACCGAAGGAATGTCAATGCATCTGTTTCCTAAAAAGAAACAGAGCCGCAAAGACATAGAAAATGGGTAAATTTTGTGCGTAAACATAGACCGGGTTTTGAGGCTTCCTCTACCTCGTGTCTGTGTTCAGCGCATTTTGAAGATTCTTGTTTTGACCTTAATTTGAGCGTGCAAGCCAAGCTCAAAAGAAGGTTGAAGAAAGATGCTATCCCAACCATTGACGTGGCTGGGATTCCTGAACCATTACAGGACGAAATAACCGATCGAAAGCGAAGAAAGTAAGTTTACGCTTGTTTATGTTAATTTTTCTTTTGTCATATGTAAATTCGATATAAGTTTTGTAGATTATTTGGCATACTCTTCATAAGCCATCGCTGAAAGAAACATGTTCTCTCGATGAGGAAGTACCATCTACTAGTGATGGAGCTGAGCATGCTGACATTGAAGAAAAGATTTTCTTTCATTTAATTCTTTCAGCTTAACCTCTCAGTAGTTGCACCAATTTGTTCATCAAACAACTTCCACCTTTCGAACAAAAACCAAAAAACCTGCCGTCTTTGCCTTGAAGAAAGACTACTTATCCTAAAAGGACGTAAAAAGAACATTTTAAATAAACGTTCCGATATCTTTAGTGCATGTTGTCATGTAACCTAACACCTTTTAATCAATGTACATAGTCAGCGAATAATAAATAATCTGTCAGTTGCCTGAAGATCGCCCTACGGCGTGAAACTCGGAGTAGCGACAGCAAAAATTTGTCGATTTTATTTCATTTTATCTTACGCTCTTCTAGTATATGTGATATTGAGCGCTCTACTTATATGAGCGCTCATTTTATCTTACGCTCTTCTAATATATGGGATATTGAGCGCGCGATTTACTCCTCATTTGACTCTGAAGATGACAACCGCTAAGGTTGTCGAAACGTCAGTCAACAGCAACAAAAACAGTCCTTCTCAGGACTATACCAACCTGGACGATCGACATTTACAAACATGTAACGATACTCCCGGGTTCAAACCATTTACTTTTTTGAGCGCTCTTTTATCCAGGAGTATTCTCCCATTATTATATATATATATAAATACAAAGTGTATAAACAATGTGCCCTCCCGGCTATCATCACAGTGGAATGGTGACTCCTGCACTTGGGACTCAGGATGTACGGTTTTATATATATATAAAAGTTTCTCCGGATTGTGTATAAATGATTTTATTGAGCTTTCAACTCGGTGCTTCGAGCTTTCATCAAAAAGATATAGGAAGTTTTATACATTTGTTTTTCATTTGTAGACGCTTAGAATGGGTGGATTAGTGTGATTGTATGGTGTGAAATGCGTCATCCCTACTTAATTTCCGGCATTTTTGTGCAATATTGTAGTTAATTGATTATGCAACTTTGTATTCTATCGTAGAAATCATTAACAGAAGTAAACAATAACGGGCAAAGCATTACCGTGAGACTCATTCTTGAAATAAGCAGAAATTTTAAAGCGAAACTCTCCTATGCGAACGAAGCTGTATAATTTAGTAAACAACAAAGTCAAAAACACTTAACGTATAATTACAGCGACGTTATAGACTTTAAAAGTTAGAAAAATCGCCAATCTTCATTTAAGTTCACACTTAGTCTGTCAGAAATACACTCCATGTCAACTTTGGCAAAAAATCGTGTTTATTTTCAGGCATGCTCAAAATTCTCCTGACAGCAATTAAAATTTCCTTGTTTAGATGGCCTAATCCAAACACGGGCATCGACTAATCAGAGCATGTTTTTCCCTTATGATATTTTGCAAATTCATGTAACACAAATTGATACTCACTTCTTAAACACGAAAATTCTTATTGTATTTACGATTTAATTTTAGTTCTAATTCAAATTCCTTTCTACTCTTAACAATATTTTTTAGCTTGTCTGTATATGATATACCGTACGAGTTTTCACTTCACGAATCTCCAGTTACGTTCACCGACTATATTGGTCATTGTCCACCTTCATTACTCGAAGATTTGTACTCTACAGGTTCAAAGAACAGAAAGCCTTTTTCCGAGGTACAATGATTTGCTTTCCTTTTAATTCTTTAATTTTTCATTTTAAATTTGTTCTATTTGCTCTATTTGTTCTATTTTCATTATTTTTACTCCCAGTCAATCATTAAGATATTTTATTTTTCCAAATATTTGATTGTTCCATCGATTGTTGATGTTTATGACAGTGCTATGGTACGCAATTTTATTGCTGATGGTTCTAATATAAATGTATATGTTTTAGAACTGGCCAATTAACGGGGGAACGCTTGGAGATGACTATGAAAACAGTTCAGTTGATCTCATCATTACCGGGTACGAGGAAGTGCTTTGTTGGTAACGTGATCGGTGTTTTGTAATAGTTTTGCTTGTCTGTAAGGTCTATTATCAAATTGGATGCAAAATGTTGGATTCGCTATATCCTGAAACATAAAGGCAATGATTCGCTATATCTCGACTGAAAATGTTGAGGGATGCTGCTTTTATTCATCAGGCTTTCAAAGTTGTTGTTGTGGATCCAATTTTTGAATGATGTTATTAGAATATGTTGCTTGTTGATCGTGTGATGTTTTAAAAAAACCTCTACCACTTGTTTACGCAAACCCTAAATTTTATCTTCTAAAACTACACAACTATTTATTTTAAGCTTTTAGTGATTATGGTCCATATTTATCACATGTTTGGATCATTAAGCCAAGTCTGGCGATGAATACAACTTTTTGCTTATTATAAAATCGGTTTTTAGACATGCTGATGGAACTGTTAAATTTTGGGATGGATCTTCGGGTAAGCTTGTAGCTTATATCCCGTGTGTATGTAGCTTATCAAGCGTTATAGCAAAAACCATTTATATCGGTGCTAAATTTTAAATTCAAAATTCCTTAAAATTGTTTGTAGATTTTGAATTTCTGAAAAGTTAAGTTTTACTAGTTAAGATGCTTCCAAGGTATTAGGAAATGTAGTTACATCCAGTCATGTATTGTGTTACATACAGCCCTCTATTCGTCTCTCCAGACATAAGCAAATATAAGATTATGCAGAGGCAACTCAATTTTATATCTTTTCTCTTCTTCTATGTTTTCATGCTTGCTGTCTGTCTTATGTACTTACATTTCCATGGCCATGCTTTCCATGCAGTGTTGCTTTTTTCTATCATGTTTACTTGATAAACCTTTGTTATTTTCTTTTGATATGGTATAAAACTCTTGTTGACCCATTGCTGGTCATTATTTTTGTTATATATCTAGTGTATTTTTGTATCTCTGGGATAAATTTCTTCAGGACACTGTAATGTTTTCTAAAGCCTTCTGTTTTTGTTTTTCATATAATTACTTCTTTATGATATACTTGTTTCAGTATGTCTCAGCATGTTGGCTTAACTCCCTTTTGAAGAAGCTCTTGATTAATTTATTTACAGGCTCGTTCGCTCTTATCGCAGTTTTACCCACGTACAGATACTTTCACAAACGACGAAGAGTATCAAAAACCGACAGTAACGGCAGTAAGGAGAGCAATTCTGATGAATTACACGACGAAGATTTTGAATTTCTCGCCATTCAGATGGCTTACTTGTGTGTCTTCAGCAGGACACTGGCACTAGTTAACGCTGGAAATAATGTGCTATATTTTATGTTCGATAATAATGAAAAGAGTTTTGAACTTGTGGTACGTATACATTTGAAGCTTGTAATGTTTGTTTTCTCCGAGGATTTATAAATTAGAGCAATCTAATTGTTGTTTTGTAAATGTGTGTCTCCTTCGCTGTTTTTGAAGCTTACTACGGACGGGTAATCTCACCATGGGTAGTGCAAGCGTGTGTAATAGGTGGGATAATTACGTGCTTAGTAATATACTTTGAGATATTTCTCGACATTTGTTGGTTAATTGCAGTGCTGTTTGTCTGTCATTGCACTGTAAATTCTGTAATCTGGTTGGCTGAAAAACAGTGAAAGGTGAACTAACTTTCTCATTTAAAAAAAAGACATTTGAAGTGCGTATGTCACGAAACTGTTTATTGTTTTATAAAAAAATTGCTTAAAACTGTAATGGAATTTTTTATCACATCAATATTTTGAGATATCGAAGTTTGTGATATGTAAATGACGGAATCTATGTTCGTTCGTTTCCTATTTTACGTATCTTAAAATCACGTTTTTCCTTCGTTGTTATATTATAAACCTCGGAAGTTGTCAGAACTTTTTATTGTTTGGTATACTGATCACTTTCTTAATACAAAGCAATATTGTTTTCTTTGACTTTTTTAACTTAAATAACGATTGTTTTGATTGGCTAACAACGAAACATAAATTTTCTAAATAACATCTCACGAAAAAATCAATCAGGCATGCAAACATTAATGTGAAGAAGAAAGTCGATAACAGATTTTGGAGATCGTTTATCTAAAGCAATAAACAATTTCGTGACATATAGGCACTTTAAACAAGTAGTTGTAAATGAACAAAGATTTACACAATTGCAATAATGGAAAATTCGAGAATGATGAAAAGATGCAAAGGAAAACACAGCACTAAATACCTTTTATGTTAGATTTTTAAAGACTGCAAATAACGCTCTTTTGCAATGTTTAAATACTCATTCGTGCATGTTTATTCGTAATTGCAGTCGACACTATACTATTACTTATACAAATATGGATGCCGGTTTTCAATTTATGTCCACGAAAAAACAGTGACGAAAATCTTTTTCGTGAGTACTGACCCAATTGATAAAATAAAATGTGTTCTGCCAAATCTATTATTCGTTATAAATGATAGCTCTGAAAAACTTAGCTTAAAGAACTCTTAGATCATCCTGCTACATTAATTAAAATTAGTATATTACAATTAGGTAATGTTATTGAACATAACATTAGAAAAGTGCGTTCGTCTTTTATATTCCTTAGATACTTCCAATCGAAATAGTCCCTGAGAAATCCGAGGAGGCCAACGATTTTTCAAACCAAGCTGATACAATTCAAGAGGTTTTGCCAGAATCCCGGGAAAACGATGTCGATTGCGAGCTAGAGACGACAACAGATAGTGCACAACAGAATGAAGATGGAAAGTCGGATGCTGACAAACTTTCACCGTCAGTGACCACACTTCCAGCACAATCAATATGGCGACCGAAGACTGGGTTCGGCAAGCGGCCTCCTGGCTTCCAAGGAAAACTGTGTTGTGTCATTGATATGATGGAGAACACATTGCCGTTGTGCTATCTTACACTCAGTTCTGGATTTGGCATGTAAGTCTGATCATAGAGATTATAAATAATACTAGAGGTGGCATCGTAATATAATCTATAGTCCAAAATATGGTACGCGTTTTTTGCGTGACAAAATCGATTCCCGGATGTTAAGTTGCAATGGCCGACTATGATTTTTTGACTTTTGTATATATTATGCGTAAATACTATGGTGAATATTATCACAATCTAGTTGTTGAACAATGTTTTCCTTTTACTCGTAATTTTAGATGTTTTAAACCACTTTTATTTTGCAAAACTTGACATGTTTGTGTTGCGTTTATATTTATTCAGTAAATTATAAGTCCGTGAGTCATTACTTTATAGAAAGATCTTTTTCGTCTTTAATTCGACTGCTAGCACACTTCAAAAAACATGTATTTGTCATCCATACCAGAAAAATGTTTAAAATGGTTAAACTATGTGAATATGTGCGTTGTAAAAACATAAAAAAAAACATAAAAGAAGAACATAAATTTTCTTTGTTAATAGTTAATTAAAGCATATACGAAGCATAGTAAGATTATAAACTACATATAATATTAATAACAGCTGTGTAAAAACAATTACTATCGCTTTAAATTGACAAAGTTTCTTGATGCTTGTACAAAAGAGCAAAAAAGAACTTACTACAGTATATTTAAAAAGAATCCAAAACTCGAAGCAGACGGCAAAAATATCATTTGTTTACTTCGTGTTTAATAAGTGATAAATCTGGGACCTAAATTTGGCCCCCCAACACTCGCATTCCTTAAAGTTGTCATCAATGCCACCTCTTGTTTTATTTGTAATCTCTATTAGTCTGATGTTGTTTTTGTAAGTAGCTGTTAGCAGTCCATCTATAATGTAACCTGACAAAAAGTACAATCCAACTTCCATATCATTGCACCATTTTTTTGAGCTGAATCTAACATACAAACAATGTAATTTTGAATTTATGAAAAATTGTTGCCTTTATATCAATCGTTTGCGCTCTATTTTACTGGCAAGAATTAAAACTAACAAGGTTTTCAACGATATGTGCATTTCATGTGATCACAAAATTTAATTATATCAATGGTGGCTTGACGGTACATCATATGATTAACTACTGCAGCTCCTTGCATATGTTTGTAATTCCAAATACTTGAGAGACAACTCGATTTCTCAAGTTTTATTTGTTTGAAATACATAGCCAATAGTTGTGTTTTTGAAGGTATTTCGAATTTAAAATTGAGCTGCTATAATTTTTTTGAACGATTGCTATTATATCTACTTCAGGCGAGTAATGAAAAAAAAACACAAAATGCACGTCCTTGCACCTCACATTACGAACATTGTTAGTTGTTAGTGGCAAAATGCATGCAATCATCCAGGATGCAGTGTTACTTTATAACACAATGCTACATACGTTGTCTTTATCAATGACATCATCATTCAATCAACCTTTATTAAGTATAGACTATGTGCAGGGGCGGATCTAGGATTTTTCAAACATCAGTCATAAAACGTCAGAGGCGCTCCGCACCTGAGGGGGTCTGAGGCATTCTCCCCTGAGAAACTTTGACTTTCAGAGCCTTCAAAATGCCATTTTCAGCGTTTTAGAGCAATACAAAATGTATTTTGTGGGCATCGTTTTTGCGTAAAAACAACACATTTTGCTTACGTGAACAATACTTGAATGTTTTGCCAAATATTTAGGCTCATTATCATGTCAAATATATATGGCTCATTAGCATGTCTAGGAACGTAAATTTTATTTTACAATAATGCTATTCCAAAAAAGTCATAGTCTTTAAAATTTCTACCATACTGTCAGGTATAGACCCCCTAGAGACCCCCATTCAAACCTCTATGTAATGCGTTAAGTTAGAAATTTGGTACTACAAAGGACAGTTCATAGTTATGGAAAAGCTTAGACTTCAAACCATGCAAGTTTATTGTAACCCTTTACCCATCTCCGCATACAGTGCCAGCAAATTCACCTTTTGAGAAAAACTTAAAATTTTTTTCTGCCAAAGATTAAGCAAAAATTATCAGAGTGAAAATTTGCAGTTAAGGACAGCTTAATGCCATTAATGTTTATGTTTAGTCAAGTACTTTGAGAGTTCGTAAGTAGGCGAACCACAGAATGACTGACAACTACAACCACTTGCAAACAAATCAAATCACAAGCTACAATCCACTAAAACTTTCATTAAAAAACTGAGCACTATACAAATACCTGACAACTATATACTAGTGTCTTTTGATATAAAATCACTGTTCACCAGTATTCCGCTTAATCTGGCACTTACTTGTACAACAACCCTTATTACAAACACCACGGACGTACTGCCATTACCGACAGAAGATATTATGGAGCTACTAGATCTCTGCCTCACCTCGACTTGCTTCCAGTACAAAGGTACACACTACAAACAATTACATGGAACAGCAATGGGCTCACCCGTTTCTGTTGTAGTTGCTGAAATTGTAATGCAATCTATAGAGGAACGGGCGCTCACGACTTACAAACATGCACTACCTTTTGGGTTTCGCTACGTAGATAACACAATCACAGCACTACATGCAGACGAGATTGATGACTTTCACACTCACATCAACAAACAGAACAGGCACATGCAATTTACCAAAGATGTTGAAGAAAATGGAACTCTTCCTTTTCTCGACTGTTTGGTAAAACATGACAATCAAAAACTACGAACAACAGTTTAACCAACACATACTGACCGACTACTAGACCAATCATCTTACAACCCTACATCGCACAAAGCCACCACAATCAGAACATTAACAAGACGTGCACAAATCATATGTGATTCACCGGACGCTCTACACAACGAAAACAACTATCTCAAACGTGTTTTTTACAAAAAGAACTATAACTCTGACTTTATCAAACGCAACACTTACAAACCCAACGAACCCAACGAAACGAACAACTCAGTGACAACAGCAACGATACCTTACATCAAAGGTACGTCTGAGACTATCTCGCGTATCTTACGACCATACAACATACGTGTCGCACATAAACTAATCACAACGTTACGACAAGTACTAACGAACATAAAGGACAAAGAACAACCCAACGAACGACAAGGTGCAGTTTACAAAATAAACTGCTCCGACTGCCACGCCTCCTATATCGGGGAAACTGGCAGGAACTTAAACATAAGACTTACTGAACACAAACGAGCTACTAAGAAACAAGACAAAACTAATCACATTGCCGAACATCACCGAATCACAAAGCACAACATCGACTGGGACTCGGCAAAATGCATTACTTACAGTACTGACTATAGACAACGGCTTACATTAGAAAGTTGGAAACCAACTTGGAACAAACCCCCCTGAACAGATCACAGCAATTACCGGCACCTTACAAACGACTTATTCACAATACAAAAAAACGATTAACTAAAAACATTACACTTCACACTAATTCACAATGACAATACACAATTGACACCCACACATTACAACTAAAAACATCACACCTAAATCACACATCACAACTAAAAATAAAAATATTTCACTTCACACTAATTCACAATGACAATACACATTTCCTGTACACACATTACAATGACGTAAGAACCAGATAACAAATACGGCTAACCTGACGTTTACTCCTCATTTGACTCTGAAGATGGCTACCGCTAAGGTTGTCGAAACGTCAGTCAACAACAACAAAAACCGTCCTTCTCAGGACTATACCAACCTGGACAATCTTTATTTACAAACATGAAACGATACTTCCGGGTTGAAACCATTTACTTTAATGACTGAAATGTCCCTCGCGAGATCGTCTTTGCCAAGCATTTACAATTTATCCATAAATTTTTCACCCTCTTGAAAAAATTCACAGTTTTGGACAGCAGCATTCATATCAATATATGAATTTGTAAAAGATTTCTATAAACTCCATCTGATTGTAGTTTGGTTTCTATCATGCTTTAGAAAATTACTATGAAACGATCAAAGATTCAATTCAGAGAGTGAGCTTGACTATGTTAGTTCAGTTGGCTATCAGTCGAAATCGATCAAACCAATCACAGTAAGACAAAAATTTAAACGAACCAATTACACGATAGCAATTGCTCTCCCTTATAGGTCCGGCCACCCCGCTTATCCATCGAGATTATTCCAGATCATCCACTGATCTGGCTATTGACCAATGGAATGGCTTAAATAAGCGTTCTTGAACTCCGTTATCGGTCGAACCAGTCGAGCCATCCCGCTTGTCAGTCAGCCAGTTAATATAATTCCAGATATGTTTTTATCTACTGATCTGTTTACTAAGGTGGTATTTGTATAAGTTTTCATACATAAAACAGAATTTTGACGATGAAATCCAAACGATGACAGAACGAAAATTTAATGATCAAAAAAAATTGTAATCATTAAATTTGATAAATAATTTTTGAACTATAAACATATGTCGCGTGACTGATTTGACATACCTAGATCCGCCCCTGACTATATGTATTTAGCCTTTCTTCTTTCATCGTTAATTGTAATCATTGCAATACTTTAAAAGCAATGGAATTGTTCATAGTCGTCCCATTATTATTGTCACTATACTGATAAAACCATGGAATTGTTCATTGTCGGGTGATTATAATTTTCAATTTACGGACAAAACATAGGGAATGTTCTTGGTCATGTGATTGTAATTGTCAATATACTGATAAAACAATGGGATTTTTCATAGTCATGTAGTAACTATCTTTTTAATGTATTTTGTCAATATCAGCCAGTTAAATAATGACTTGACCTTCATTAAATATCACATTGCATAATAAGAACTAGAATCATTAGGCGTATTTGCTGATATGTTATACTTAGGGCAGAGTTCCTTTAGTATGACGTGTTAATGGCATAAAATGCAGCCTATTAGTTTAAACCTAAAGTTGTTAGGAAACTGAAAAGTGTTTAAAACATTGCGGCAACGCGTTATTCGATATGACGTCACAATTTAGATAAATTGGAAAGGACAGAAACTTCAATAGGTCAAAAATGAAGAGACATGAATAAACTGTTGGAGAAAGTACGATGTCATATCAAAATTTCTGTTCAATGCAAATCTAATTTAATTATCTAAGTGCTCGTTTCATAAATAGGCACTTTAAATAACTTTAGTCGAAGTTACACATTTCACTATTTTGGTCATGTTATTTTTCAAGAATGTTTGTCACCCAATATGCATTGTGTGCAAATTGCGGCGTGACGATAGTTTTTTGGCTTAGAAAATGACGGATTTTGTGAACAATCCACGCCGTAAGAATTCTCATTTATGTATTCAGAGCAGGCGTTTATTATTACTGTGTAAAACATTAGTAATGATTTAAACTTTTGATACAAAAAGCTTTCTTTTCTTAAGCGCTAAAGACCAATTGTTAGTGGATTAATTTGTGCTAAGTAAATTTTTAGGAAAACTACTTGACTATTAATTTTTGTGCTAGTAATTTTTAGGAAAACAACTTGATTCATTTGTTGTGCTGCAGGCTCAAAGTGCATATTGGTCGACACACATTCCTAAATTCTGAAATTTTTGACGTCGTATTATGTTTTCTGTTTAGAATGGCGTTTGGCAGTCTTAATTATCTCGTCCTTGTCGATGCAATTCAAAATAAACTTATATCTACGTTCTATCCACCAGATCTCACAGGTATGTTTGTTTATCAAGATGAGACACGCTTCGATTTTCATTGAAGCGTTGGAGATAGCGAGTTCATCGTCTCGGTAAAGACCTAAATATATATATATATGCTATTTTCCGGCTTCGAGGTCCGCGCGGAAATAATATTTTCACGTGGTCTCGAAAGCGGCTAAGGCAATACACTTCGCCTACTCGTTAAAGTGCCAATGAAACGAAAATTTTGGTATCTGATTAATACTTTTATTCAAGAGATATTTTAAGATGACAATGGACATTCTCAACCGGTTTATGCATATCACTTTTAATTCTTGAGATATTGAGGTTTTTGCTTTGTCCGTTATTTCGAACTTGTGACGTCACTTTGCATAATGAAAACTAAAATTATTAGGTATATTTACCGATAGTTTAATTCACAAGGACGGAGTCTCCTTCATTGTAAAGTGGTTAATGGTATAAAATGCTGCCTACTAGTATCATTCTAAAGTTGTTAGGAGACTGAAGAGTATTGGAAACATTGTGGGAGCTCATTATGCAACATGACTTCACAAGTTGTATAAATTGGAAATAACAAAAACGTCAAAATGCCGAGAATAATAAGAGATGTGCATTAACTGTTTTAAAAACTAAACTGTCATTTCAAAGTTTCTAGTCATTTCAAACATAATTTAAGTTGCAAAATTTTCGTTTCATCGGCACTTAAAGCAATTTACTTTGTTTTCAAGTCAATTTGAAAAATTTGCATTTCACTTCGCAAACAAATATATTGCGAAAAATATGTTGAGACTTAAATTGCATTGTTTTTAACAAACCCTGATTCATTTGGATATTAAAATTCACTCTCGCTATGATAACTTTCTTGTGAATTCACTTTGCTTACTCGTTCAATTTACATCGCTTTCAAATAAATTTAAAATTTACATTTCACTTCGCAACAAAGACATTGCGAAAAAAATATCACTTGACCCAATTGGTAAATATCGTAAAAAGCTGGCTGCTTAGGCAGCCAATCAAATTGCTGGAAATCAAAAAATATCGCTTTGGACTGTTAAAAAATAAAAAGTTTTATAAATCTACTTATGGCCAGAACTTTCACAGGCTGCCCGCATGTACGTAACACTTACCTATTTTTGTAATGCATTGAACAGCACTTAAAACAAGGGCAATTATCGACTGTGATTTTGCAGCCATATATGTTTCAACTGATGTTTCTTTCGGATGAATGATGATTTAAAATCCATGAAAATCTCTCCTTGCAAACCCTTTTCCATTATTTCACTGTCCTTTTGAAACTGAGCAAACCATCATTTTAGAGTTGTTGATCAAGTTTAAACTTCCTAACAAAGTTTCCCCCCGTAGAGTACACGAGTTGGTTGCTGATTACATTTGCTTATTGAACATATCAAAAAATAAGCTTCCAATAAATTTCCACAAATTTCCTTTCGTTATGCTAAGTGCTAAGTGCATTTTGTAGTTGCCAAAGTTCCTTCGACGCCTTGCACGCCTGCAACACCGCTGACACCTGGTTATTTGTCTGGGGATGGAGAATCACCTAGTAGTAAGAAACGTGATTTCAGATGTCCGTCCAGACGACGTGTGACGAAGTCGAAGCACAAGCCACTGGAAGCATCTACTGAGAACGATTTCTCGGATGGAGCAGTGCTAAGTGTAACTACTTCGGAGAATTCGTCTGAGCACATTTTGTGTGTCACGTGTGCTTATACGTTTACAAAGAAAAAAGGTAAATCTATTAAAGAATCTTTCTTTCTTTGAAAATTTGACTTTACGGAGTGTATAAAAAAATCTGAACAGTTAGGAAAACGTCATTAAAGTTACCTGCGTGCAAGATTTGCTAAGACTTTAGTTTGCATTAGTTACACGTCCATTGGTTCAACTGACTGTTAGGTTTTGACAAACAATAAAATTTTTGAATGAAAATTGTGTTAATAAACAGCCATTGCTTGTGCATGTAAATGACACAGGTAAAAAGCAATTGAAATACATAGCTAGAACTAAAATATTTCAAATGTTGCTATAGCTAACAAACTTCAGGAAATTTGGCTAAAGCGTAGTTGATGAGGACTACAAAAAAAATTGCATTTGAAAAGGGAAAACGCTAAATATTCCACGATTTGGATGCCAAGTGTTCGCCTACGCTTTAGTCAAACTTCCCGAAACTTTGTTAGCTGGCAAGAACATTATGTGCCTTGTTTCAACCCTTTCTGCTCCAAATTTCACTGGAAACAATGGTTATTATTTGCCTCATTTTACGGTGAGATGAACTGTTGGAAGTCCAAATAACTATTCCATCGAAGATTTTGCAAATTTCACGATATGACAAAGCTGAAAAAGACAGGATCTCAGTTAAAATGTGGAACATTTTGTTCAAGCTAACAACCTTCTGAGAACTTCGACCAAACCGTGCACGAACGCCAAGAATCTAAATTTTGGATCATTTGCATTTTTTTCTTTTTAATTGCCATTTTCTTAAAACTTTTGTTAATTATTCATATTTGGATTAATTTAACCTCATATTTGCGCATGTCATTAAAAAACGAAAAATTTAAAATATTTCTAAATTAGAGGTATGCGTTGCGTATGCATTGGCTGCGTCATTTTCGTGCGCAAGCTATTTCAAAAGGGCTTCTTAGTAACACACACAATTTTCTCTCTAAAAATGGTTATTATTAGCAAAAATTTTATTGTCAGGTTAACCATTAGAAGTCCAACTAACTATTTCCACCAAAGATTTTTGCAATTCTTGCTCGCTGATGTCTTTAGCAACGTTTTCCTAACTGTTCAGGGTGTTTTTTTAAACACCCTGTGGACTATGGGTATGAAGGAGATTGTATTTCAATTCAGTTCTCTTTCGGACAAAATAATAATTAAGAGGTTTCTGGGAAATATTATTCGAGATTTGTAGTTTGTCAAACTGCAAAATGTCATGTAATCATGGCTTTGCGTTTTGCGTTGCGGTTTTCGGTTCAAGTTTTTACGGGAAAAGATCCTTCTTGCGGTAGGTGATGTACTGTGAGCTTTATAGTACTTTTAATGCATCCAATAGACTTTTATGAATCAATGTTACATTTTTATGTGAGTATTCAACAAGAATATGTATTTTTTATCGACAAACTTTCAACAAAACATGAAATTTAGCTATAGGGACAGCGAAACGACAAACCTCATGGTGTGCGGGTTTTTGAGGTTTGCCGTTTGCCGTAAACGCCAAACTAAAACTCGCTATCGCTAAACACTCACCTCTGCATTTACGCATCATACAACAAAAACGCAAATTTGGAAGGTAATGCTTTCTGAATACGTATATTTATTTGCCTTTTATGAAGATGTATTTCTGTGATTTTACACAGTATAGTTTTTCTGGAATAAGTTGTAGTTATAATTTATGTTTAACTGGTTATCCTTTTATGCCACTCGTTCACCAAGCTTATCAAAAAAGTAGCTATAATAGGACTGAAAATGAAATTGGCTCTTTGCATTATTGCAATGTTGTGCGCCATAAATTATGCGTCCCACGAAATTTTAATGAGGGTCTCAATGCATGAAATTAGGCTTGCGTTCGATTGCAAGAACAATTCTTTCTTTTTTATTGTTTGCTTCATGGATGTTTTGCATCTTAAGCTGTAGCTATTTTCCATTTTCTTGTCATTAATTATCTTCTTTTATCATGTAGAAAATCTTGTTGGTCCTTGCTTTTGGGTTGGCACAAGTACCGGAAATGTGATTTTATTTGCTGCCAGTTTTCCACCAGCTGGTGAACAGAGACAAACGCAACCAGTTCTAACTTTCAACACAGGTAAGTTTGGCACCATTGAATTTATTTTCATTTATAAATTTTGCAAGTTTAGTTTTAATCGTCTTGGACCGGTTGCACGAACGCCTAACAACGCTCTCCTCTGAATAGCAATACTTTTAAATGCAAGGCAAAAACATAACATTTGGGTTCCCCGCTGGGAATAATTATACGAGAATATTACATGAGGTCTTATATGACAGATTATAATCCATTTAATTTTTTTGTTACAAGAAATACAATATTTACAGATGTAATAATGCAAACTGTGTATTTAAAAATAGAATCTCGTACACTTCCAGAAAAACGTTTTTAGCACTAAAAAATTCGTGTTGTAGACGTTTTAAATTTCGGGAAATGCAAATGACCCATGAGCTTACGGCCACTGCTTTGATTGCATTTTTTGTTTTTAGGGTTGGTTTTCACACACAAGGGTGAAGTCGACAATATTTCGATATTGGATAAAAATGGTCATTTGTTTTCATCTCCCTCGTGTTTCTGGTCCAGTGCTGGTTAGTATCTTATTCTTTAAGTGCATCATAGCGGAGTAACGTAAAGGTTCATTTTCTACGGCGCGCTCACTTGATAACTTGACAAATGTTTTGCAACAGCTTAGCTTATGAGAGTATGAACTGATCATCTATTTTTAACAGCGCTTTACTTGTGGCTGTTTAACCCAGTTCGGCTAGCCAATAGTGGTTGTTGGGTTAATTGAATGTGACAAATGGCAACGACCCAAATTTGTGGTATGGAAATTTCATTGTTTCGTTTCGATCCGACATCGTTCGCCTCTGTTGCTAGTTTTGTGAGTTGTCAGCTAATGCTTGAAACGCAAAGCAGCAACGTTGACTTGGAGCATTCACATGACTGCAAATGAAGCTTGTTTTATTTTTTCATAACGTTTGCAAAACGTTCACCATTCGTCACCGCAGTTGATGCTAGTTTTACTTGTCTATAACGTGCAACAGCAACTTTTGGCTTCAAGCATTTGCATGGCTACAAGTGAAGCCCTTTTAAATTGTTTATGACGTACAACAGCAACATTAACTTTGAGCATTTGCATGCCAGCAAGTGAAGCTAGTTTTTCAGGCTTAAAAAGTACAACAACAGCGTTGTTGACATCTACTTTCTTCAATTGTATTGAACGTATAACCGCCTGATACTATGTTGATTGGGATCAACAGGAATACCTGACGGCTCGCGTACAGCAGTCTGCTCTAACGATAACAATGAAGAACGTCATTTTCTTGTTGTGTGTACCGACAAAGAGGCTGAGGTGAGAACAACAATTATTTTATGCAGAATAAATTTATTAGCATAATGATGGTATATTTAGATTTTGCAATCATACCTTTTAACGCATTTTCGCGAAGTTTTTCATGTAGAACCAGATGAATCATGGCTCAGGTTAAAGATTCACGAAATTAAATTCAAATAAAAAGTCATTAAATTGTTTATATAACAGCTTTGGCAAAAGCCAAGGAAAACAACATTTTACGATATGTAAATTAGAAAACGACAACACATGAATTTACATTTACATATCAATAAGGGGCTGTTTTAATGAATCTAGGCTGGCCCAGTATGCGAGATGAATTTTTGATGTGTTTACAATGACGTTCAGCTCGCTTGCCAAGACGTTTTCGCTGTCGAAATGAATACTTTTATAAAGCTTCTTCTTATAATCAGAGAGATTATCAATCAAATTCTTCATCATCTTTGTATTGCAGCGAAAGTTCTTTCTTTGAACAATTCTTGTGACTTTTTGCTCTCTTTTGCAAGTGCATGTATTCTTCCATTTTAATATGTCATCATACGCATGCTCAAATAGTTAAAATTTAGCTCGGCAAGCAGGCTAGCTCGGCAGTTGAGTGTTAACATGAGAAAATTTCATCCCGGCAGGCGAGATCTCGTCTGTGCCAATTGAGATAAGCGGGCCAGCCCATGTTGCCATATAAACGCAAAAAGATTTTTAATAATATAATATCTACTACGTAGAAAGATCTCGCTTAACGAGCTATCTCGGTAAGCGGGCCAGCTCGGCTTTCATATAAACATGTCCTAAAACTTGAATGATTTTAGAAGCAAACATGTAAACATTGAAAGTTCATTAAAGTTTTAGGAGATCTTTTTTATAAGACAATGAAAAAATTTGTGGCATAGGCACTATAAAAATGTGTTTTAATTATTTAACTTACTGGCTATGATATTTTGCACTATTTGTTTTATTATGTTGTAATATAACCAAACTCGTCGGCTGACGTAACGTAATCATATAAGATAACAAAATTTTGGAAACAAGACTTCATTAAATCATATCAATTAGTAAACTTGACACCAGCTAGGTTTTATCAATTAACCAATTTTGTCGTTATGATATAACTTGGTTTTTTCAAATAACCAAAGTTATTTTTGCACACTTGGTGAGCCAAATGACGTCACAACTGTATGAACACCTTCAATCCCCTCCCCCCTGAATAGTCCCTCAGCAATTTATGGACTATCTAAACAATTATTTGTCTCGAGTTCACTCATTTCACTCTGCGCATTATTCACATACTCTCATTGTAAAACCTGTGCTTGCGTTATCTGTTTTGCTGTAAAGTTTCATCTTGTATTACGGTAATTGTCGTGAACGTAGTGTTTTTGCAGTATTTGTTTCAGTTTATTCATATTTCACGAACATTAAAAGCGCTTGTCGTCTGCAGACATTGTTACGTTTTCAAACGAATCAAATCTGCGCTAACATTTTAAATTTGATTCGTGAAATACATTGTTTAGTTGCTAATAAACAAATTATTTTGGAACACTTATACTTACACACTTATTATATGGCAAGCGTCACTTCCGGCACAATGGCCCTCTTCGATTGGCTCAGAAATGTTTTTGCTGGTCCATTATTTTCCCGTAATCGACCACGGAACAAACGCGTAATTGTAAAGTCAAATGTAAACAAACTTTGTTAAGCAAACAGAACACGCAAAGAAAACGAAACGATAAACCACTTGCGAATGTAAGTCGAAGGGAAAACACTCGGAAAACATTTTAATTATCCAGACGATGTAATTTGAAACGATTTCTTTTTATTGACAAAAACTAGAAAAGTGAAGCCAACCCGTACAAAACAGACGAGAAAGAAAGCAAGCTTCGTTTCAGGTCAAATAATGCCATATAATAAACCTTTTAATAACCTCGCTTTCTCGGTTTTTACTGAAAAATATCGGACCGAGGTCTTTTTGTACAAACCTCGCCCTACGGGCTCAGTCCGTAAAGACCTCGAGCTCGGTTTTTATGAGCTTAATAATCTCTCCTTGCTTTATCATTAAACATATTATTGCTTGCATGATATGAATTTAATAACAACACATAGCACAAAAACATTTAATATCGTTAATGAAATATGAATAAATTGAAATAAAATTGCAAATCAATAAAATTTTCAATGAAAGTATATGACAATGGATTCAAGATAAATGATTGTATTGTCTTGTGACTATTTAGCGTGGAGCAACTGTAGGTGTTCATACAGTTGTGACGTCTTTGATTCGCCAAGTGTGTAAAAAACATGTTGTTACTTAAAACAACCAAATTCATTTATGTGGACAAAATTGGTTATTTGATATAACTAACTGATGTCGAGTTTATTATTTGATATATCCAATGAAAATTTTGTTGACAAAATTTTGTTGTTTGATATAGTTACGTTACGTCAGCTGACGAGATTTTGGTTATATAATATAATAAAATAGATAATTCGAAATATCATTGTCAGTAAGTTAAATAATAAAATCACATTCGGCGCCCTGTATTTTAGTAGCACTCCCGAATGTGGGATATAGGTAAATATACAGTTTTGTTGTTGCTTTTTTAGGTCCATTGTTTGCCATCGCATGCACGCTTTTCTAAGAAAGATCTCTCAGAATACAATTCTGTATTGACTTCAGATGTTGTCACTATTGAAGGTAGTCGTCACTAGTAGCGTAGTCATGTTGCAAATTTGTTCATATTTCAAAGCATTATTCATTTCTTTATAAATCTATTGTTTTACAGTAAGTGAATACTAAAACTTTATATAGCATGAACGAACTTGCAGGATGGCTGCGCCTCTGGTTATCTCTTGAACTTTTTTTGAGTACGTCCATACTCCGGTGCGAAAAAGTGAAGGCAGGATTTGACTGCGTTTACACTCATCCGTTTTATTGTCGCTATAATTTTGCAGGCGTTTACAAATAATGCCTCTCGCTGTCAAAATTTGTTGTTTGCTCGTGAAAATTGGTGCCGCATCTTATTTACACGTTGTTAGATGTTTATATCTCTGGCCATACGTTGGTCATAAAAATCATTAATTTGTAAAAAGGGCTCGGTTTGTACAAAGAGACCGCGGTCCAATATTTGTCTGTAAAGACCAAGAAAGCGAGGTTATCAAAAGGCTTATTACACGGTATTATATTTCACCTGAAACGAAGCTTGCTTTCTTTCTCGTCTTTGCTGTTTTGTACGGGTTTACTTTCACTTTTCTAGTTTTGTCAATAAAAGGAAATCGTTTCAAACTGTATCGTCTGGATAGTTAAACTGTATTTTTCCCCAGTAAAGAATAACGCAGAGTAGAGCTCCCAACCAGCAGCAAAGCCAGCCCGTTCTTCATTCTTACAGTGCAAATATTTTTGTGTTCAATCGCTAAAAAAAAATCGTTCGAATTAATTTTATTAAGAAATAAATAAATATATTTGATGAAAATATACAATGTAAGTTACTAAAAGACCGGGCTCGCTTTGCCACTGTATGCGATGACTAAATTGAAGATGAATTCACCCTGCGCACATACACTACTCCGAAGTGTTAAAGAACTTAAGTCTCTAATTCAAAACACTTTAAATGAAGGCATCAAACCTCAAAGTAGAAGTTATTAATTCCCAATACCCAGTGCTGCTTTATTTGACAAAAAGACCTTCGTTTTTTTGGATTAACCTTTACTCGTGATCGAATTATAGAATCCATATCTTGGCTAGTGTTAATCTGCAAGTGCTTTTTTTAAACAAAAGATTCTTCATGCTTCTTGAAGGTAATAGTTGTCTTGTATGCCTTTGCGAAAGTGGAAATTTTTTGGCGTTTAGTCTCCCAAGCCTTGCTCTCTTGATGAACCTCATTTGGGAGTTCCCATCACAGCGAACAAAGTAAGTAGAGTTCATAATTCATCCATATTTACTATTCATCCTAATCTACTGATCCATTTTTCTTCTTTTACATTTGTCTTTAAGTCTGTCTTTTATTTTGTGTAGTTTTCTTCGCACGTTCAAGTTAGCCTGTGATGGCCAGGCATTGTATCTTCATTCTCCGACAGAGCTTCAGTTTGTGTCAATAGTCACTAAAACTGGGTAAGCCTTCTTCTTTCAATGGAATGGGGTTGTAAGTCAATTTGCCCTAGCTTTTACATCGTATGTTTTATCAAACCTTTTTTAATGAGTTTGTGATGCTTTATTTGTACGTGAGTTTCATTGCTTGCGTAGACTAAAAGATATTCCGAAAGTGGAAAAAGTATCCAAATATATTATGCCACTTCATTTCCAAGATTTATCAAGAAAGCTGTTCAATTGTTTATTTGCTAAGTGCATCTTGTGTGGTGCAAACTTTTTCTACTTGTGTGTTAACAGTTCTTTCTCATATTTCTATAACAGCTCAGTTGAAATCGGTTGTTGTTTTCGTCACAATCGTGAGATTGCATTAATCACACGCATGACTGGTATGAATGAAATACTGTGACCAATCATTCCCAATTTTGGATTGTTTCACGTGTGAGTGTCACTCTCGCCACGTGAAATGAAGCATGATTGACATAATATTTTGCCACGTGCAAAAATGCAGCGCCGTGGATTTCGCTGTGTAATTTTGCAACTATTATGATACGCAAATGCAACCAAACATGAGTAATCTGGGTGAACGCCTGACGGGCGTCTTGTTATGCAGAATAATTCATGCGTTTTATGAATTAAATAAACTAGTGATCGTTTCAGTTCCTGGCCTGTATTTTTCTTTTATGTTAGAAACCATGCAAAGGCATTTCTCTTTCAACGTTATTCTCACTCTTTATCTATTAGACTCAACTTTCCCGAGTTCTCTGGCTCGCTTTTTACGGTAGTGCCAGTTCCCGAAAGACCAAGACGCGGTTTTTTGGCCTCTCTATTCAATATAGGACCAAGTGATTTAGACCGGGAAAGATTATGTAAGTGTACTTGCTCATTCTTTTTAATGTTTTTACAGCGCCATGTGTTCGCCGTACCCGAATATATCTTTAAACACAGTCTTGGTTGTGGTTACAAACTTCAATTTTGTTTTGAATAACGTATTTGTTATAGTGAATGACGATTGAGTAGTTCTCAAAGAACTGTTAAAACTTTCGTTGTCTTTAATACAAATAGAAGGTAAATTTTCTTTAATTAATGCAGACGGTGACACCTGATGAGAAGTCTGCCGAAATGCATTTTGTCATTGAAAATGTCATACAGTGGCGGATCTAGGGTCAGTCAAAATAAATTAATGCAGCAAATTTTGGCATGTATTTACATTTCTAAGCCCTTGGAGGCATATTCATTGGTAAAATTATTCCTTTAGAAATTCAAAACTAATGTTTTTCTGAAAGTACTTTGAATTTAAAATTAAGGAGCTATAATTTATTTTGACTAACGACGCTGGATCCGCTACTGTGATTATATCAGGGTCAGGAAAATAACTTCTTTAGATGTCAAATCGTTTTTTAAGAACATTTGCCATGTATTTGACTGCACGAAAATTTCATTTTTATGGGCTTTATTGGCATAACAGTAGGTGAGTTCGCCCCAGATGTTACGTAAAAAGGAGAACACATGCATTTATGTTATAATATTACAGTACAGAAAAACTCTGTTATACCTCATAGGTGTATAGTTTGATGACAAAGATTAAACAAATAATCTTTCTATGTCACTTCTGGCGGAGAATCCCTTACTTTTAGGCCCAAAAATCGCATGACAGCATTTTCCACTAATCAAATATATTGCAAACGCTCTTAAAATTGATTGAACTATGAAGAAAAGTTATTTCCCTGAACGTGACGTTAGCATTTGAATTTTATACTTATCTTCGCTTTGTTTTTCAGTAATTCTTTTAAGAACTACTCAACTGTCATTCACTCATCGACAATGAGCTATAAATATGGAAAGTTTGTGTCTATCCTCCCATAAATTTATTTTCTCGAAAAGACTGGTTCTCTTATCTCGCTTTCGATTTCTTAATAGCTACGTTTAACGTTTATGGGAACACATTTCATATCCACACACGCTAAAGATACATGTTTTAGATTTCATGTTCAACACTAAGTAAAGAAAGTAATTTTTCATGTTGAACCCTTCGAAGTTTATTTGAAGCAGCAGATGTTTCGGTGCAACCAATTTTCTGTTTTGTTTTATAATAATATTTTTGAAAAAACTTTTGAAAACACGAACGCTGATTGATCGAATGCTCGAAAAAAACGTGATTCTATAACTCTGTGGTGCACGAGAACTTCGGTCTCGAAAAATCACTTCTTAAAGTTTGGGAGAATCTCAAAATTGCTTGGAAACAATTGCACTTCATGCTCGTGTTTGTCACGCAATTTCTCGTTTCTCCCAAACTTTCCCGCGTGTTTTTATTACTCGGAAACTCCGAAAATCTTTTCAATCATTGCACGACAAACTGTATGAAGTGTAAAAAATCAATTCCTTTCTCTTAAGTTTGCGCGTTTATTATCTAGTTGGTGTTGAGAGCGGAAAATCATCACAGTATTTGGCTACCCGAATTCCTGGAAAAGGTACAGAGGACATTCAAGCTAAGTCAGGTGGTGTTGCTGATGTAATGGCCAAGAACATACAGGTATGGCTAGGTGTTGAGTACATGGAACAGAGATTGGAAACTAGTTGCGATATCATGATCACATGAACAAATACTATCATATTAGCCAGTCTTAGTGTGTACTAATAAAAAGTCTACGGAACCGATAGAGTTAGGATTGCGCCAGGTGAAAAGGTTTTTATTGTTATTTTCCATTGCAACGCTTTTATTTTCAACAGCATTATTTTTCTCATGAGGATTGAATTCATTACCGACAATGTAAAGATCAAAGTAAACATATTGTTATTTGGAATAATTACAGAAAATCTATTTATCTAGGAATGCCGGGTTGTGATAGAAGGTTACAATCGCAAAAAAACGTAAATTGGGCTCATTGCTTAAAACTTATGAGATTTGTAGCTGTTTTCACGTTCATAGAAATTATGAATGATATTTAGACGAAATATATCGGCTGCAACAACTCGTTCTTGGATATAAATATCCATTTTGAAACTATTCAAAATTTTTACATTGGAATATTTTGCGATGGCGTTGTTATCAAGACATTCGAAAAATGAATTGCCGCAATAATTTTTTAACTTGGGCTACATAAGGTAAAGGCGAGTATAAAATACGGGTTTTCTGTCTTGTAGCGGAATTGCACAAACCACGGGTGACTTGCACGACGTCTTTGAACTAATCAAAATCTTTCTCAGGTCTGTAATAATGCGTGAGTGTCATACACGTACAGTGAAACTTCATTGACATAATATATTGCTACATGTGAGATGGCATTGTTGTGAATTTCGTTGAGCTATATGCAACTATTGCAATAAGCAAATATAACCAAACATTGTTCCCGAGTTGCTGGAGTAAATGTCTAAAAGTCGTCTTGTTTTGTGTTAAATGTTGGTGAAACGCAAAATTTGGTAAATAAAAATCGAGTTACAAAGGTTTTGTTCCAATATCACTCAATTGGAAGTTGGAGGATATCCAATGTTATTTGTAACAATGATACAACATAAAGTATTTCATTTGTTAAAGTTAATGTTAATTCAGTTAATAGACGCATGACAATCGATTGTTTATCCAGATACGTCTCACCTTTGTCAGTTATTGTTGAGTGGAGCAAGCGTGTTGAAGAACGTATAATATCATGAATAAAACATATAATCTAACAGAAATCGCCCAGAATAGTCCTGAACAGCCCACGAACGTAGTCCAATAACTTAGTATTGGATTGTCAAACGATAACGCATGTATACTAGCAAATATTATAAATATTATTCGATGCTTTAATCATTTACGGACTTCCAGACAATTTTGAACACTTCGTAGTACAAGAAAGCTTTAATTCACAGCCAACTTCACAGAACTACGAACGCGCCCGAAGAATTATGAAGGTGGTCGACTCCAAGGAACCATAGAGAAGTCAGTGTAAAAGCAATGCATTCTGGAAATATATCAGGCAGAAACAAAACCTTAATTAAGCGTAAAGGGACCTGTTATGTTTGTGGATGAGCAAGAAAGTTCAAGCAAGAAAGTGCGAGTATTCAAATTCAAAAATACGCCGCAGAGTCACGATTACCTCGAAAATTGAGAAGCGGCAAAGGAGCAGAATACACATCCAAGCAATTCAAACTCAACTGCATAGAATGAAAAATAAAACTTGAAATTACATTGCCTGAAACCCCACAAAAAATGGATTAGCCAAACGCTATAATCGAACTCTAGTTGAAATGGGACCATGTCTATTAATCTGACCACAATTACCAAAATAAGAGCCTTGTCTCTTGCATCTCATATAAGAAATCTTACCGTTACTGCCAACAGCGAACATGATACAAGACCTTTTGGGCTATTTATTGGAAAATAACCAAGTCTAAATCATTTACGCACTTTGGTTGTACAGCATACGTCATGGAAAAAATGATCACCCTAAAGAGATTTGATTCGAGAGCTGTAAAGCTTACATTCTGTATGAATTAGATTCAATGAAAGTCGTCAAAGCGCCTAACGTTGTCTTCCGAGTAAGAGAAATCCAACTATTTTCAGCAAAAGAGACGATAAATTCAGAACTTCCAAATCTTGTAAGTCCCAACATGCATTTCGACGATGATTGAGCGAAAGGTGAGAAAATAGGAGAACGGATTCAAGATAGAGTTAGGGGAAATAATTTAACGTTACCAGCTGTTCAAAATCTTGAAGAAGATGAAGAAAATCCTTAGAAAGAATTCTCACTTCCTAGAAAATGCAGAAATTAGCAACCACCAAAAAAGTACAGATTACACTACACAGTTAACACAATCAAAGAAGAAAGCGTACAAGACCCCAAGTCTTATAATGAAGCAATTAATATACCGTAAACAGAAAGCTGAAGAGAAGCGATGAAAGCGGAATATGCTTATTAATGGAAAATAACACTTGGACAATAGTGAACGAACCAGAGATTATGCAAGTTCTACCAGGAAAATGTGTATATACATTAAAGAATGGAGCAGATGGTCACATCGGCATGTTTAAAGTAAGATATGTAGCCAAGGGTTATGCTCAAGTCGAAGGCTTAGACCTTTTTGCTACTTACGCTCCAACATGTAAGGCAAAACCTTCCGAATCCTACTTGCAATGACAGCGCACAAAGATCTACACTTAACATAGTTTAACATGAGTGATTGTAAAACAGCAGCGTCACCTGAAAAGTAAATTCGAAGCTGATCAAAACCAACGAAGAGCAAAAGTAGTCGATTTGAAGTTATACAGAAGTTTAGTTGGTTTACTTCTGTTTGTTGGTAAACAAACCCATCCAGACATCTTTCACATTTTTATTCAGCTATTAAGATTCCTAGATAAACCTGACATATCACATTAGAAAGCAGCAAAACACATACTAAGATCTATTGAAGTGAAGAAGCACGCAATTGTTGCACTTTCGCCAACAAAAACAGGGTACCAAACAATGGTGGTAGTCCTACGAGAAGCACTATACTTTTGAGCACTATTTAATGATTTAGGTATCCAATAAAGTAACCAATCAATATCAGATAAGATAACCAATCCTATGTAAAATTGTGTCAAATACTTGTAATGTGTAGTAAAAGATTCACTATTTTTTAACCGAAGAAATGACAGCCGACATTCTGAAGAAGTCATTATTTCAAGTTAAAGTTGCAAAACATCGAACAACATTTTGAGGCATTTAACTACATAGTAGACTCATCATGAGCAGGCTGAGTTTGAGTGGAAGTGTTTAAAGTGTTTAAAGTTAATGTTACCACAGTATACAAACAAACAGTAGTCTCACTCCACTGTGCAACTTGGTGCTGTATATTCAATTATATTACTGGCTGACACCAGCATGCTACTAAGTGCTCCTATTAGTCAGAAAATGCAATTTACTGGCTGCTACTATGCTAATCACATGCTTAATAAGATATGCACTACCCGAAAATTTGGGTGGGACTACTGTTTGTTTCCATACTGTGATATTACTTTAGTTAATAGATCATCGATCACGTGGCAATCATATGTTTATCTAGATCTGCCTTGCTTTTATCAGTTCTTGTTGAGTAATCTAACAATATTTTCCCACATTGTTGTTATTTTATTTTGTCCTTTAGGCGGTAAAAGAGCGTGGGGAAAAACTAGAAGACTTAGATCTCAAGACGCAGCATATGCGGGATCAAGCCAATCAGTATTCAAGAAATGCCCGTGCATTAGCACATAAATTTAAAGAAAAAAAATGGTATCAATGGTAGGACAATAGGGAATTTTAGAAATGTTGCCGCTGAATTTGTCGACAATTTTAATTTACTGAACTATCTGAGCGTTATAAATTACAAATACAATTTTGCATGCAATGCTGTTGTATCATTGTACAATTATGTATTGTGAATTGCTATGTGAAATAATTCATTTGTTCTTTAGAGAGTAAATGGCTTTTTCAAGACATGTACCCTACGTCATAGGTTCATACATATCGTATAGGTCTATGCGATATTTAAGAAAAGCTTGCTCCTGCATACATCACATTCGTTTGAGCTTTCGCATAACTCATTTTGCAAATCGTAGAATCTTTTCCAGTCATGTATTTGCCACTCAAACTTGCAAAGTGATTTAGTTTGGAATAAAGCTGTATAATTTATGCGACAGCTTCATTGAACTAAACATAATTTAAATTAAACAAGACTTACCTGTAAGTTGAAGTTTAAGTATGATTTTATGAGTCGCCGTTGGGAGTGCGGAGTCACATCAGAATTGAAAGACTGAAGAGATGGCCACCAACAATGTACCTGGGTGGGCCAAATAACCTTACAATGGGTTGGGCATATGACTCCACTCCCACCTGCGACTCATAAAATCATACTTAAACTTAAACTTACAGGTATTTCCTTTAATTTAAATTATATTTCGTCACTGGTGACGTCGTGACGAAGTCACATGAGATTTGAAAGCTGTGGCCATGATTCAGTAAGCGCATGGATAGCTAAATATCTAATACATTATATCTGTTTGTACCAGTACAGTATAAAACAAAACAAGGTTATTAAAGCCCAACAGTTGTAAAGTCTATGCAACTACACATGTGCCACAATTATTCATGGCACTGGTTTCCAAATGTTTTCCACCAAAGTTTTCAGTAATAATGAGTTTGTTATAATACTTAGCAAATGTGGATCTAGAATGCCATGTGGCAGCTTTCATGATAACGTCAATAGGCAGTCCCTTGGCCTTGGCACAGGATACAGCAGCAACTCTCGTGCTAGCAGTAACTCTCGTGCTATGTGCCTTGAAAATTGCCGTGTCGATTCCAGCTAATTCAAAACCGACTTCATCCATCTCGAAATTGTATCACGTGAAACAGGCTTGAATGGTTTGTGAAGACTAAGAAATAGCTGAGAGCATCCTCCATGATGTGTCTCTATTTTTCGCCAATAAACTTTCAAACAACTAACCACACATAAATCAGGATCGTTGGGAAAATCCAGAAATTCTAAATGCGATAAGTGACGGCTTGGAGCAGACGTCTTTAAGAGATTGGTGAGCATGAAAACGCATGTACTGTCATTACAAACGATATTATCCAAACGAAAATTATGCAAAGTTTGACATCGTTGTCCTGAAAGAAGTCCAAGTAATATGACAAGTTTAGTTTCAGGGATAGTTGGGTACTTCACTCTAGAATCTTCAACCGTTTCAGAACTAAGTCCACATCCCATACACAGGTATAACGTGGAAGAGCTGGTTTGACTCGAATACTTCTTTTAATAACCGTTTTACATATGGATGCTGCGCAAATAGTCAGAGTCAATGTTGTGCTTTATGATTCGGTGATGTTCGGCAATGTGATTAGCTTTGTCTTGTTTCTTTGTAGCTCGTTTGTGTTCAGTAAGTCTTATGTTTAAGTTCCTGCCAGTTTCCCGATTTAGGAGGCGTGGCAGTCGGAGCAATTTAGTTTGTAAACTGCACCTTGTCATTCGTTGAGTTGCTCTCTGTCTTTTATGTTCGTTAGTACTTGTCGTAACGTTGTGATTGGTTTATGTGCGACACGTATGTTGTATGGTCGTAAGATACGCGAGATAGTCTCAGACGTACCTTTGAGGTAAGGTATCGTTGCTGTTGTTACTGAGTTCTTCGTTTCGTTGGGTTCGTTGGGTTTGTAAGTGTTGCGTTTGATAAAGTCAGAGTTATAGTTGTTTTTGTCAAAAACACGTTTGAGATATGTAAGACTTGTTTTCGTTGTGCAGAGTCTTACATTTTTCGTAAAATTGTGCACAATACATAATTTTAATGTTATTAGAATATTTTGAACTTTTATAGGTATTTTTTAAGACACTAAGTTTTTTTAATAAAAGCCTCAATTTTTTAAGTTTTTGTCTTCACCTTTATTAAGGCAAATAATTCTAAATAAAAAATGTTAATCCAATTTTTTTGTTAAAGTTGTTCAAAAATCATTGTTTTAACGTGATTAGATTTTTTTGTTATAACATCACTTATTTTTAAAACAATAGTATTTTTTAATAAAATGCTAGTTTTAACTTTTTCATCCTTTTTATTGTAAATTTATTAAAACCAAGCAATTTCAAAAAAAAAGTTCTAGTCTTACGCTTTTCGTAAATTGTGCACAATTCATGATTTTAATGTTATTACAATATGAACTTTATAGGTATTTTTAAGACACTAATTTTTTAATAAAAGCCTCAATTTTTAAGTTTTGTCTTCAATTTTATTAAGGCAATTAATTCTAAATAAAAATGCTAATACAATTTTTTGGTTAAAGTTGTTAAAAAATCATTATTTTAACGTTATTATATTATTCTGCAATAATATCACTTATTTTAAAAAGAAGAGAGTTTTTATAATAAATGCTAGTTTTTAAACTATTTCATTCCTTTTATTGTAAATTTATTAAAACCGAGCAATTTCGAAAAAAATTTAGTCTTACATTTTCGTAAAATTGTGCACAATTCATGATTTTAATGTTATTAGAATATTTTGAACTTTTATAGGTATTTTTTAAGACACTAACTTTTAATAAAAGCGTCTATTTTTTAAGTTTTTGTTTTCAATTTTATTAAGGCAATTAATTCTAAATAAAATTGTTAATCCAATTTTTTTATCGTATTTCAAAATTTTCATCAAAAGACTATAATTTATGCATTTGAACAGATTTTCCATAAAAAAAAGAACTTTTACAAAATAGAGAATCCACCCCTGAAAATGAATTTTATCATTTTTGAAAATTTTCTTCAAAACATTATAACTTATGCATTTGAACACATTTACAATTCCTGAAAATGAATTTTATCATATTTTCCACAACAAAAAGAACTTTTACAAAAATAGGAATTCAACCCCCTGAAAATTAATTTTATCATATTTCAAAATTTTCATCAAAAGACAAAATTTATGCATTTCAACATATTTTTCACACAAAAGAACTTTTACAAAATAAGAATTCCACCCCTGAAAATGAATTTTATCATATTTTCCACAACAAAAAGAACTTTTACAAAAATAGGAATTAAAGCCCCTGAAAATTACTTTTATCATATTTTAAAATTTTCATCAAAAGACAAAATTTATGCTTTCAACATATTTTCCACAACAAAAGAACTTTTACAAAAATAGGAATTCCAACCCCTGAAATTGAATTTCATCATATTTCAAAATTTTAATCAAAACACTATAACTTATGCATTTGAACACATTTTCCACAACAAAAAGAACTTATACAAAAATAGGAATTCCACCCCCTGAAAATGAATTTTATTGTTTTTTAAAATTTTCATCAAAAGACAAAATTTATGCATTTCAACATATTTTCCACAACAAAAAGAACTTTTACAAAAATAGGAAATCCACCCTGAAAATGAATTTTATCATATTTCAAAATTTTCATCAAAACACTGTAACTTATGCATTTGAACAGATTTTCCATAACAAAAAGAACTTAACAAAATAGGAATTCCACACCCCCTGAAAATGAATTTTATCATATTTCAAAATTTTCATCAAATGACTATAATTGATGCATTTAACACATTTTCCACAACAAAAAGAACTTTTACAAAAATAAGAATTTTAACCCCCCTCCCTGGAAATGAATTTTATCATACTTTGAGCCATGCACTTCAACACCAGATTCCACGGCAGCCACGAAAAAGTAATCAATGTTCATTCCTTTCAAAGCATCCAACTAAACAATAGCACCGATAGCATTAATAAAAATTGAACTGATCACAAAATAATTTTGTGCGTTTATTTTGACCCATTCAATATACCTTCTTCAAAATTTTTTCAACTCTCGTTTCTTGCGCGTTTCGTGGTCTAAAACAGAGCAATCTGTCTTTGCCCTATTTATATAGCCTTCTCGTTGGCTTTTATCCACGCAGCGCCATCGTTGTCCCAATTCAACATTTCTAGCGTGAAATGACAAAGACTTTAAGGAGTCTAAAAAAAGAATAAAAATGTGCATAATGTTAATAGAGACAACTTTGTGTACGTAGCTATTCTCACCATCGTTAGAAGCTTCTTCTTTACAAAATAATTGGTATCCATTCATTCCACTAAAAAGTAAATGAATTTTATTTTTTATTTGAAAATTTTGTAAAACTTGCAGTCTTTTGAAATGATTTCCTTTGGCTGACTATTGATGGACAATTCTACCGTTTTGAAAAGCTGAAAAGTGAGTGAAGAGTAAAGAAAATTTTTAATTCGTTATTGCAACCATGTGGAACTATCTTTTTCTTGAGTATTGAAATACTCAGGAAAGCCCTGCATAATTTCCGTGATTTAAGGAAAATCCGTATGCGAACAAACCACAATATTTACAACATTACTACGGTTTGTAGGTCTAAATTTGGCACAAATTATAGCACAGAGATATGCATGCTCACCATAAGGTGAGATTAACGAGCAGATATGGAAAAGTTATAAAACAGCGATGTAGACAAATAAGCTTTATAAAATAGATTTATATAGAACTAGAATACATCTTGGAATGAAAATGAACTTGTTGATAAATTATCACAATGGATAGCATTATTTTACCTTGACATGATTCCTATCCTGCTTAAAATGAACCAGAAGAGTCTATTTGGTGTGCAATATAGTCAGTGGCGTAGCTAGGAAAATAGTCTCTCCGCCATCCATCTCGCGCCGGAGGCGACCCCACTAGGGGTCCGGGGCATGCTCCCCGGAAAATTTGAAATCCAGAGCCTTGGAAACAGCATTTCCTGCGATTTCGAGGGCGAATTATTTGTTGTACAATAATTTATAAAACCCATTTTGTTAGCTGCATTCTTAATGTGGCAATCGTTGAAACTGCAACTAGTTAAAAGGTACTAAAGGTGGCTCAGAGAAACGTTACGCAGGAGACAATTGTCCCTAAAACATAATTTACTCATCACTGCCCTTGCATAAACAGAAGAAATTTGTATTAGCACAAAAATAATATAGTATACGACACTTCTAAAGTGCATAGAGAGAGATTTTTCTTAGCATTCTACTTGTTAGTTTAAACTTCTTTAGATTGGGGCAAGTAGACAGGGGCTTTATTCTTTAAAGTTATGCTTAATTTTCTCAATGAAGTACCATGTATTATACGAACAAATATCAAAACACATACTATACTCATCATTTATAAAGAAAGGCCAGCCTCCTGGTTTTTCTACAAATTTTCAACCACCTCGTTATGCAACACCTCTGATTCCTCTTTCTTTTCAATGATATCTTTGTGAATAGATATTCTACACAAAGAGCTAAGCCGACCTTGACCCATTCTATTTCTTAAATAGCTTTTACCCTTTTAAGCAAGAAAACGACCTCTCTACTGAAGCACTTGCCACTGCCAACACACCATTCAATTTTAACAAATTTACCACTTGACCTAAACTCGACTGAGATTAAATTTGAAGATGTATTTAAGAACGTCATTACTGCACTCTTTGTGAAAGTCCTTGTCGTTGTAAATGAAGGAAAGTTGACTCTCCAAAGTTTGGATGTCAAAAGAGGACTATACTTATCTTTGAGAAGATTGATCTTCTCCTGTGGAACTATGCCCTTCCATGTAGTAAATAGTTTAGGATTTACAAGGTCTAAAACTCGAACTGATTAATATCTTGAAATCGTTCACTTAACATGCCTTTAATGGAATCAATAATCTCAAAATAAAGCTGTTTGTAATTGTATCTACTATCTGCTCTGGTTGCTGGTGGGCCTACTTTTTCTAGTGCAGTTTGGTAAAACTCGGTGAAAGCTTGATCTGTGCGAAGTGACACAATAAACTGCTTGAAATTGTCAATCTTGCTTATGCCATAGTTAAAATGGGTTTCCTATTTTGAAGAATGGAATACAAAATTGTGGACTGTTCTAAAATCCTGTAAAAAACACACACTAGAAAACAAAAGAGAAAGCTATCAAGATAATGCAGTAAGCCACTTATTTTACTTAATGACTTATCATCCCACCCAGCTGGTTGTTCAAGTACCCTCAAAAATATCTAAAAGTTTTTCATAGTTTTTGTGCAATACATTGATTAATCTAGAGCGATAATACCATCTTGTTTCACCAGGGGCAGGAAACTCAAGGTTGTTAGATGTGAGAAAAGCTTTTCTTTTTGGGGCATTGTTTGTAAATGTGCTGAATGTAGCTATATTAATAAAAAAGATTTTAACAGGAGAAATTGATGAGGCTGACTGGCATAGGCCAGGTTCAATCTATGAGCTGCACAATGAACAAAATGAGCAAAAGGATATTTTGTCAACCAATGCTTGAACACCATTGATATGGCCAGACACGAAGCAATTCATCATATGTTTGTAAAACCAGTTTTTCTTTTATATTAGAATACTCACTAAGTTTATCTTTGACAACTTGTGATACTGTGGCATTTCTGTTCATACTTACATCCACAAATCCTAATTGCTCTCCATAATTTCACTTGCTTTGTCAAACCGAGCAATAACTTAGCTGCTCTTTTGTGAGACATCAGATGCTTCATCAACCTGAATACTATAAATGTGCAATCTATTTATTTCTGATTTCATCTTCAATAATTGAATCAAGACAGCTAAGACCATTTTGAATTTCTGGGGAGACTCCAGTAAATCTTCTGTCACCAACTATATCAGATTCTGCTAGTCTACTGTGCAGTCGACGCTCAAATACAGAATCAAACTTAGCAAAACATTCGAGCAAACTCTATAATTACCTTTGTTCAAGCTACCTTCGACTCATGACCTCTAAATGGCAACTCTTGCTTTGACAAATACAGCACGGCCTCAGTAACAGTTTTAAAATTTCTGATTTTGTCTTACCTCCTCATTATGACGCTGAATCTCATTTCTTCTAGAAGGACATAAGACAATCAATTTGTTCACTAGCTCCACGTTTTCCATGTTTTAAATGCAGTCAAATGCGATTTAGATTTTCATGCTTCTTAGCATCAGACATAATACTCCGCATATCGTAGCCATTCTTAGTCCACGATGGCGATGTTTTGGGGAAAACTTGCAGCTAAATCGAGAGATCGGAGCCAATGACTTATACCCAATCATCTAGATATCTAACTGCGTTGTCACGGTGAGGCAAATTTTATTCGCGGGCGCCATCTTGAAAGGTGGCAAAACATAACACGCAATATACGGTAGTATAGTTTACATGTCAAACTGACTCAAATATATGGTTGAAAACGTTGAAAAATCAATATTAAAAACAAACACAGGTATAACATCCTCAACTCTAAAACAACGCTCAAGAAGCACATTTTAGCTGCAAGCGCAATTTTCGATTTTTCATGGTCAAATCGTGCGCCGCGTATGGATGTACAAATCGCTTTTCAAAAGAGAGTAACATAGCTTCTCACAAATTCCCATTGAAAATAAGGACCTCTGTAAAAGATGGGTCATTGCTATGAAACGAAAAACTTTACCCCAAACGCAAGCAGCTTTTGCAGCGATCATTTTTGCACGATGATTATAACACTGAAAATGCCTATAAACGCAAGTTAAAGTTCAGTGTTCGCTTTTCCGAGAGACTACTATCTAAAAGTCAAAAAGAAAGCCCTGCTAGAAGAGAGACAGAAACATCATCACCAAGCGCTGAAAAGTTAAAATAGATTTGCTCGAGGAAAGTCTAATAGAAGAGACAATACCAACGCAAAATGCTGTAGCAAGTAGTCCCAGGAAAAATTGCGAAGAAAAATAAAAACTCTTAAGCAAAAGTTACGACGTAAGGAAACGAAAATTCAGTCGCTAAGTAGTTTGGGAAAAGCTTGAAAAGAGAAATTTATTTCGTCAGACGCAGCTTCAATTCTCGATAACAACCTTTCAGGAGTAGGTGGGGAAATTTTAAAATCAGACCTAAAGAACAAAAATCGTGCTACAGGCCGTCGATACTCAGACGAAGTTAAAAAGTTTGCGTTAACACTTAATTTTACTCCACGAGCGTACATTTTGTACGCACGATTTTACATTGCTGTCCAAGCGCTATCTGAAACTGGACTTCCAGTGTAAACTGTGAACCAGGGTTTTGATGATGTGTTTTCATTTCTACAAGAAAGCAAGAAATAATCCGGAGTATAGGGACTGCGCTCTTCTTTTTGATGGTATGTACATCAAGTCAGGGGTTGTTTACAACAGAAGTAAAGGAAATTATGAATTGTCAATTTTGGTGCGGATGTTGTTGCTTTGATCCAGACAAGGTTGCTACTGAAGCTTTGTGTTTATGTTAGTTATTTTACGAGGACATTGGAAATGTCCTATTGGTTACGTGTTATGAAGTGGAATAAATTCTTCAAATTTGAGTGCACTGGTTAGCAAATCGTTTCGCTTAGCATCTTCACATGGGCTAAATATTTACAGTGTGACTTGTGACGATACTGCCACCAATTTTTATTTCATGAAAGCCCTTGGTTGTGAGTTTGATCAAATTTGTCTGACATTAAATACTCTTTTAACTATGAGTCATATGAACACCCACTGTTTTTTGTTCCTGATGCTTGTCACATGCTAAAACTGGCAAGAAATGCATTGTCCGATCTTAAAGTACTGGTTTCGAGTGAAGGTAGTTTGATCAAATGGGAGCATATTGAAGTGCTGCATAAAGTTCAAGAGGGAGAAGGGTTAAAATTTGCAAATAAGCTGTCCACGGGGCACATTGAGTTCCATAGGCACAAGATGAATGTGAAAGTTGCAGCACAAACATTCAGCAGTTCAGTTGCAGATGCCATTGAATACCTGATGCTTTCTGGTCATCCAGCTCTTAGTGATGCGAGTGCAACAATAGAACTCATAAGGATTGTTGATCAACTTTTTTGACATATTAAACATACGAAGTCCATTTGGCAAATGTTTTAAAAAACCACTTTTTTTATGTGATCACAACACATGGAAAAAAACTTTGGAAAAGTCAATTGAATACCTTTTTTCCCCTTAAAACAAACTCTGGTGTTCCTCTGATCAAACATAGAAGAAAAACATTTGTTCTCGGTTTTGTAGTAGCAGCATCGAGCATTAAAGAGTTGGCTCACATTCTCCTTACAAGGGAACATGATCCTTTCAAATACATTCTGACATACAAAATGTCCCAAGACCACCTTGAGCTGCTGTTTGCATGAATACGTGGTAAGAATGGCTTCAACAAAAATCCAGATATTGTACAATTTAAGTCCAGTCTACGAAAAATTCTTTTAAGAAATTCCATCATTGGTTCCAAGCATGCAAACTGTTTGACTTTCGAAAATGAATCTGCTGGTTCTATTTTTTCATTAAAATGGAATAAAAGAAATGCTCCAGCCTTTGAAGTAGAAGAGATGACACCAAAGGACACACAATATGTCAGTAGTTTAGTTTCTGGATTAGAATCATGTTCACTGTCATCATACAAAGAAGCAATACTTGGATATATTGCTGGGTTTGTTGTAAAAAAGATAATCAATAGAATCACCTGTACTGAATGTGCAAGAGCTCTTTTGCTTAAGTCAAAAAAATCATCATCAGTTCATGATCATAATTATTCACACTTCCAAACTACTACATCTTTATCTTTAATCAGTTTGAAGAATCGTGGTGGTCTTGTTCTCCTTCTAATGGTGTGACCAAAATAATATTTGCATCTGAAAGAGCTTTTCAAGTC